TATTTTTTGGTCCCATTATTTCTTATTATTTCAACTACCCATTATTCGGGCGGTTCAAGGCGTTGCTTCATCTGGTCTCAAGATATCGTTAATCGAAGTAGTCATCGCGATCGAAGGAATATTTTCATACTTTCTTGTTAAATTTTACCTACAAATAACGAACAATAAATAAATACTGAAAGAGTGAAATGCATCGATACTACATACGATGTGATATTATAATGGCGTTAAAAATATTAATCATGTAAGATGGATATATAAAATGTTTTACCTTGAAGGCACCTCTGAGATTAAACAACTAACCTCACATCTTTATAGACAATCGTTATGGATTACATTATTTTCCTTTGATTATCGACAATCTAAGTAGGTTAAGTAAAAAAAATTAAATTGAAAATTTTAGTTTAAAATTTAAGACAATAGGATTTTAAAATATTAAAGTTGAAGATAAACAGGTTTAAAATACTTTAGTATAAAAATTAAGTTATCCACACTAATATAGTATTTCCAGCATTTTGAATATGTATTTACGTATGTATATATATCCCCTGATTTAACCTCTACCGGTCACTACGTCTGATTGTAAACAAAGGTTACAGTTAAGAGACTACAGTTAAAATTTATTTCTAATTGCGTTTTTACTTTTTCTACTTTTCTTTCTTTTATTATAGCGAACTTAAACTTGAAAATAAAATGAAAAGCTTAAAAACAAAGTTTTAAATACTTGACACAAATATGTGAGATCGTTTAAGTATTAATGGAATATATAATAATAGTCAACTTTGTAACACTGTATTAAAATTTTCTTCAAATATGATATTATACAATATGATTTTACGTATCGTTATTTTCAGATAAAGTAAAAGACAATGGAAATCAATCACGACATTAACGTAATTATACGAACACGATGCGTATAAATGTTTACACTGGTCTTAATCAAAAGATAGACATGAATGAGGACTCCATCTATCGAACAGTAGCAAGAAATAATCTCTCGGAAGAGAGTAAGGTAAACAAACCGAAAACGAGAATTCAAATTTGGCCCTTTTTCATCGTGCATAGCGCCGTAAACGATTACATGAATTAATATTTTGATTCCAAGAGCTGTGGGGTCGTTTTAATTCATAATTGAAGCCACAGGCTAATTGCAGCTGTGCACAAATCAATTCTGTAGCTGCAATGTAGAATAATGAATGATCTTTCGTATTGCGCCCTCATGTATTGAACCAAGCTTGCTACCTACTGAACTTTACTTGTATTACAAAAATCTCGATTAAATGAGTTAACTATTTTTTATCGACGGTGCTTTGAATTTAGATAATAAACCGACATACAATATTTATCGAAAATGTTTTCTGAATAGAACAAAAAGGAAAACATAATAAAAACTAACTTATAAACTCCATGTGTAGAACTAAAATTTGCATAGTTAATTTATTTATGTGAATAATAAACAATAGACGAAAAAATTTAGTTTTTAGTTATGAATATGTAAATACATAGACAAAGTATATAGTATGCTTATTATTAAAAAGATACTTATGTTAATAGAAATTAATAGCTAGCAAATTTGTTAAGGTTTTCACATTATTTTTGTATCATTTTCAACGTTATCGATTCAGCATAGAACAAGATCACAACATCGATAGCAGTCGGAATTTAAACCAAGGTGCTCAAAACTATATAATAGTTGAGATACTCTTATCCAATACATATATGTATTTTTTGTTACATACTATTACCATTTTAATGTTACCGATATTACCGACAAATAACGATTTGGCATAAAATAAAATTAAGATAGCAATAATTGAAAATAAAATTGAAATTAACTATGAAATTACAAATTTCATTCTAGATAGTATAGTTATATAGGTTTCAGATAGTATAATTTACTATCAAAAATATATTCAAGAATATTATTTCACGTAATTTTATTATTTATCATTCTATAAAACAGCTACATATTTTTTACATTTAAAACTAATATCTACATTTTAATTATCTATTATAAAAGTATTCAATAAATTATGCAATCAACACATTAATTACAAAATTAGCTTTCGCAAGTATCATCAGTTTGGCAGTGCTACTTTTATTCTTATATAACTTATGTCGAGGTCAGTTGTAATTCACATTGGATGTACATCTATCGACCGATGATATTAAACTATGAAGTTACCTTGAGGACAGAAGTTCGTCATGTATACTAATCAGTTTTTTCAGCATTCGAGTCGCGATTTTAGTTGCAATGTTTGCTTATTCGTTTTTCCTATTTTCATAATTTCTTCAAGTTCTATCTTTATAGGAATATTAGAACTATTTGAGAATTTTTTAGGACGAAAAGTAATAGTATTGCGGTAGTAAAATAATAAAGTTTAATATACCAAATCGAATTCCTTTTTGTAAGTCATTAGTAAAGTGTCAGTATCTGCACATTATTGCCTTTACTACTTGTTTTCTTGATAGAAAATACTATCAGAACAACGAACAATATATTAGTCATAAGTCCTGAGGTAAAAGTTACGCAAATCTTGAAAATGTAACTTAAATATATCTATTCAATGTAGGTATCATATTAAAATATAAATTAAAATAAATCAAACTAATTGTTAGTGTGGTGTTTATTTTTTTTATGTTCTGTAAAACATCATTATCGATCGTATATAACAATAAACAAATTTTCACGTGACGCTATTCACTATTCATTGTAGCGAAAAAATGCCACAGCATTAGTATTCTCTTTCAAATTATTTTATGTATTTGTGATCATTGATTAATAAATATATAAAAATTTCTATTATTGCCCCAAGAGTACTCTTCCGGAGCAACTTCCTTGGTGTACACGTGATAATAATTTCTGTGCACATGCGCAAAGAGATATGTCTAAAATAGTGAAGTTACATGAACGTAAAAATTAAATTACGACAATTTTAAAGTGTATATAGTTATTGGTTGTGACTATATTTGATAATTCATTTATAATATCTATTAAGTATTAATAGAACAAACAGATGGAGTCAACGGACGAAAAATTTTCTGCTCAATGGGCACTTGATCTTCTTGAACCTTCACCATTTGATCTTTCAAATAATATTTTGAAATATTATCAAGTGCCCATATTTACATTTACTTTTGGAACTGTAATTCCATTTGTGAATAAGCTAAGAGGCTTACCTATGATGATGAGTAGGTTCATAAAATATATTTCATAACAGATTAAAACTAACCTAGCAATAAACTACTACTCAACTCATTTAAAGTTGAAAATAATCGTTTATACTAGATGTAAATAAAAAGTGCATATATAAAGTAAAAATTACGAATATAAAAATATTGCTTCTAAGAATTTGTTAATTAAGATTTTTTTAGCTTAAAAGATTTATTAACATTATATATCCTGAAGAAATTTATAAATTGAATCAATTTCTTGGAGGTTCTGTATAATTTATGTCTTTAATAAATATATAATTATTAATTAATTAATTGATAAACACGACACAAACATATTTCTAAGATATCTATTAATCATATTTGTCATTTTATCTTTCATTTTTAATTTATCATTTTTATTTTATTTATTCCAATCTTTGTTATATTATAATAAGAAGTTTTAGATTTATTAATGTTATTAATTTTATTGTTGTTTTCTAACAAAAAATTTTTATATATTTTAGTATTAATATAATTAATAAATCATTAAAATTTATTTATACTGTTCAAAAATGATTTTTAATAATAATATTTGATTGGTAGATAAACCATATACTATATTCGGAGCAATATTGGGTACTTTTTGTGGATACGTGGTCACGAATATAGCAGAATATAGATTTGCAAGAAGAGATGCAGAGATGAGAGAATATATAAAACAACATCCAGAATATTTTCCTGAACCTGGTAACTTACTAAACATTTTTATACAATATTTATTACTCAATTAAGGATTATCATTAACAAAGATTTATCTTTAATATCGTAGAAAATAGGAAATATGCAGATCTTTTTTTTCCATGGCATCCATCACGTTAAAAGGTTGACTTTTCTGAAGTAATATAATGTTTTATAGCAATAGTGAGTAAAAATTGAAATATATGGATTACTGTATCTTATAACACGTATGTTAATTTACCTTTATCTTTATTTATACAAATGTAACAGAGTATTATTATCAATGTCATATGTTTTATTCAAAAATATTTTGTTTTTGAAAGTTATAGGCATATTAAATTATTGAATTTTTGAATAAACAATATTTTATATAATATCACTTAAAGTTAAATAAAAAATAAAAAAAATTGAAATTTGAACATGTGTAATATGCAATATGAATTATAAAAATTGGACAAAAAGGAAAACAAGTTAGTTATTAAATAAAAATTTAATTAAAGTTAATATGATAATTCTGTAGTTGAAAACATTTTAATTTATAATTCTGTTACAAATATGTTTTATTGTATAAGTACATTTTATCATTATTCATATTCTTGAATTTTATTGAAGCATTTTATATTTATCATTTTTCTTATTTTAATTTTTTTGTGAGTATGTTATATATTATCTTAAACTGCATTTAAGTCAAAAAATTTTACATTTATTATACATGTTATTTATATAAACAACAACAAAGAGAATTAATTAAATTCTTTCTAATTGTAACTCTAAATTTTAAACATTCTTATTTCTTTTCAGGGTTATAATTATCATTATATAGTCCAGTTCCTTTTGAATCTCCTAACCAGGGATATTTGTTAGGACATTCTCTGCATGTTTCTAAATACCTGTGAACATATATTTTATTATTTTAAGTGTTAACATATTAGATACAATTCGATAGCAAATTTTTGTATAGATTATTAAAGTTACCTCGTTGTAGTAAAATTCGATTCTGTAGGTTTAAAATCTAAAGCACATTTATTTGCATTGTTACATGGTGGCCCAGGAAGGTTCTCTTTTCTTTTACATGACCATCCTTCGAAATTATGTAGAGATTTTATTGGTTTTGGATCAGTTATCCATGTAAGTGCTTGAGTAGCTGTTACAAAGTATACATCAGGTCTGTAAATATAATTATATTTTTAATTTATGAAAATTTACTAATTTCAGAATAAAGTTTTCAATTTCATAAAATGAAATTGAAAGATACAGTTAATTTTATATACATATACATCTATCTTATTATTATATTTTCTTAATTATTTTATGTATTGTATCTCATTGGTACTAGTGCAAATATTCATATAAAATAAATATTATTTCTCACTTACAATGTCACTGCCCAATTAAGAAATTTTGATAGTCCACGTTCAAGTTCTTTTATTTGGAACCAATTAGTATGAAAAGGCATCATATATGGTGCCCTATTTTGTTCATAATAACGGTTAAAATCTTCTTGTAACCATTCAAAAACTTCTTCAGGATCATGATTGTGAAGCACACATTGATCTAAGTAAGGACAATGTCCTCCTTCATAACTTTCAACATAATGTGCATTTAATGGTAATTCCCATACACCTAAAAGCAAATGATATATTTTTTTTCCCTCTACAGCTCACGACTTATATTTTATGATAGCATATAGCTACTTTATTACCTGGAAATGATTTAGTAGGACATGTGCCTGCTTTACATTCATGTGGAATTTTATAATCAAGGGTATATGGCCAAATTGGTACTTTTAATGGAGATATTCCAATACTGCTATCATATATATATCCAAAATCTTCCAGCACTTTGTATTGTGTATTTCGACCTGGTTTTAAATATGGAGCCCTCATGCCCACTATTTCACTTATTGAAATATTACTAAAATGTTTAAGTATCTCTCGCATTCCTATCATTTCTCCAACCCATTCCTCATACCCCTTATCCTCCAAACCTTTCTGTAATCTAAACAATTAATATCATATATATGAATATTAATTCATTTTTTAAATTCTTTAAAAAAGAAATGATTAGAAGCTTTAAATTTTTTTTAAATAATTTTCTGCAAGTAAATTCTTTAAAGTGTAAAGATTAATATTAATACTTACGATATAGTTTCAGTAGCAATTTCATGTCCATCATGAGCTAAACTTTGCACCATGTTATAATTACAATATTCATGGGAGATGAAAAATGTGCCTTTTAAAGGACAATTGTTTGGATTTAATCGGTCAGTGGCAAATATTTTTTGATAATGATCAAAGTTATTGTGATTTATTGCTCCATCAAATGTCATCATTATCATTTGAGGTGTCTGGAATTCAAAAACCTATATGAAAAGTACTGATAAAGATAATTTGTAAGAAAAGTGAAAACAGCACCCACATCTTCTGGGTGAAGGCCACCAGGAATTATTGTACCATCCCTTGAGCAAAAACAATAAGGTAATTGACAATTTGCAAGGTCGCATTTCTCAGCTAAATCAGTTGGTGGTTCTGTGATAGGTGGTGGAGCTAGTATTAAGAGATTTACATTAAAATTAATAAAAGATAATATTATACAAGATTATTAGAAAAATACTAACTTGTAGCAATTGGTCCACAGCGAGCTTCATTTTTAAAGGTACAAAATTTACTAATATCATCAAAATGTAGTCCCGATGGACATCTGTTTAAATATGGATATCCATCAACGCACTGTTGAAGTTACATATAAAGATTTAATTGATATTTGTTTATATCAAATTTTATAACCAAATATTTATGAATATTATTATATTCACATATATTTACCTGATAAAATCTTCTACATGTTGCTGGATCTGCAAAATTACCATTACCTTGACCTTCAGGGCATTTGAATTCTTCATCTTTTCTTTCTTCCTCTTTCTTCGTATTTTTTTGACCACAAACTACAAAACAAATTTCATAATTGCATAAATTATATTTTATTTGATTGTAATGAATACATTCAAAAGTTACATTTTATTACTTTTTTTTTTTCTTTTAATTCCTCATGAATAACAAATATGATATAAAGCAATAATACTAATACAAAATTGTTAAAAACTCGTTTAACATTAATAGGTTTTCAATTGCTTTTGTTAATATTAATTATGATATTCTAAATAAAAAATAATTTTAAACAGTAATATAATTAAAAATAATTAAAATATTAA